CAGGACAGCCAGGGCTACATAGTGAGACCCTATCTTGAAAAATGACAAAAAAAGAAAAGAAAGAAACTTGTTAGTTTCAGTTTTGTATCAAATTTATTGGTAAAAGGTTGCTCATAACTGTTTGTGCTGTCTGTAGGGTTTGTACTGTTACCTCATCTCTTATTGCGACATTGTCAATGTTCACCATCATTTGTATAACTAGAGGTTTTTAATTTTGTTGATCATTCTAAAGAACAGACTTCAGGTTTCAGTGGTTTTCCTTCTTGTTTTTCTTCATCATTTCCTTTGTGTTAGCTAAATTCATTTTAAAAAAATGTTCTAGTCTTTCTCTCTTTTTTCATTCTTTCTTACAGGGTCTCACTATACAGCCCTGGCTGGCTTGGAATTTGCTATGTAGATGAAGCTTGACTTGAACTCACAGAGATCCACCTACCCCAGTCTTCTGGGTGCTGGAATTAAGGGCATGGTCACTATACCCATATATACTAGATATCTTTTTGTTACTGGTTTTTTAAAAAAGATTTATTTCTGGTGTATGTATGTGCAGATGTATATGCCTATGTGTGTGTGTGGAGACCAGAAAGGGCTATCAGGTGTCCTCTGTCACCCTCTGCCTGCTCCTTGGAGGCAAGCTGTTGCCCTGAACCTGGGGCTCATGTTTTCTTGGCCAGGCTGGAAGCCAGCAAGCACAGCCATCCTCCTGACTCCACCTCCCTTGGAGCGGGGGTGGGGGGGGTGGGGGTTGAGGTGTGCAAAAGACACCTGGTTTGTTATGTGGGATCTGAACTCTGGTCTTCACGATCATGCAATGGGCATTCCAATTCTTGTTACTTATTTCTAATTTAATTTAACTCCAGGATGCCACCCAAACATTCCTTTGAAGATTTGAGTCCTTTAAAAATGTATTCTAATGATAAATAAGGCTGGGGACTGATAGGGGCTCTTTGTGGTTGTGGAGGCAGAAGATGTATATGGTCATTCTAAAATTCATTTGTGTGTATGTATGTGTGTAGGCATGCACACTGTGGTGTGTGTGTGTGTGTGTGTGTGTGTGTGTGTGTGTGTGTGTGAGAGAGAGAGAGAGAGAGAGAGAGAGGACTTTTTAGAGTCAGTTCTTTCCTTCTACCCACCATGTGTGTCCTGAGGACCAAACTCAGGTCATCAGGTGGTAACAAGAACCTGTACCTGCTGAGCCATCTTGCCAGCTCAGTGTGGATATTTTCATGAACCCTGGGAGGGTTTTAAGTAGAGAGGATTGGGTTTGAATTCTGTTTCTTCTTCCCCATCTCCTCCACCTCCATCCCCAGGTCTCATTCAAGGCCAGGCTAACCCGGAACTCACTACGTGTCTAAGACTGGCCTCTGATTTACAGTAATCCTAACTCAGACTCCTAGTCGCTGGGATTACAAATGCATGCCATCACACTCTCTTGAACTGTGTTTCCTAAGTGTTGTGGCTGGTGTGTGTGTGTGTGTGTGTGTGTGTGTGTGTGTGTGTGTGTGTGTGTGTTTGGGGGTAGAGTGTACTACGTGGATGTCAGGGACCAGTTCACATTCTGAGCAGCATCCAGAGCCAAGGAGGAGGAGATGGATTTGGGAGATTTGAGGAAATAAAAAAGACGAGTGTGTGAGAGGGGTCCCCTCCACACTAAAGGACCAGGTGTAGTTCTTGGTGTCTTTTTTTTTTTTAATTGAAAAAAAATCTTAAGAGAAATTTATTTAAAAATAACAGTCATCTGGAACAATATTTTTTTAAACATAGTTCTTTATTGGTTCTTTGAGAATTTCACACCATGTACCCCAATCCCACTCACCTCCAAGTCCCTCCATATCTGCCCCTCATCTCTGCAGCATGCTCCCCAAGAGAATCCCCCAAAATTAATTAAAAACAAACAAACAATCCGCCTTGCTCCTCCACCTTTCCAACACCTCTTCACTCATCCTAGTGCCCTCGGGAGCTGCCTTGTGTCACGCAGTACCCCCCTTTTGTTCAATCAGCTCCACCCGCAAAATGGTCTGGTTCAAGGTCTCTGACCTCCGGTGCACCATCACTAAACTCTCACCAAAACCCCTCCCAGGTATTCTGCTGTTGCCCAGAGTCATGGAGAGCCGGTGGTTAGCTTTCTGCAGGACCAGTCCCTTAATGAACTCCAGCAGGTCATAGCCAGGGTAGATGTTAGGGTGGGCAACCCCAAGGCCCAGGATGTGGGTCTGTAGGTAGCTAAGTTGGTCAGTCCGGGCCACTGGGACCACCCCCATCAGCTGAGCAGCGGGTAGAGCCAGCTCTCCTAGACCAATGTCATGGGGCCAGCTCTCCCACGCCCATGGTAAGGGTTGGGGCCATCTCTCCTGAGTGTGTGGGTGGGTGGGTGGAGGGTAGTTCTCCCATGGAGGGGCAGATCCAGCTCTTCTACTGCAGTATACAACGAGGGGCAGGGCCAGCTATCCCAGGGCCAGTGAGGGGCAGGGCCAGCTTTCCCCGGGCCAGTGAGGGGCAGGGCCAGCTATCCCAGGGCCAGTGAGGGGCAGGGCCAGCTATCCCAGGGCCAGTGAAGGGCAGGGACAATTCAGCCTGGCCCTCGGATTTCAATATGCATGGTTTCTGTGACCCCTGTGGAAACACAGGCCATGGACATTATCACAGACACCAGCTGCAACAGGAACATGGACCCAGATGTGGCTCTCGGTCACAGCTCAGCCCAGACATCACCATGGCCCCCCGATAGCAACACAGGCCACCCAGATCAGTATGGCAGGCCCTCGGACACCGACATGGTATCAGGTGGCTGTTCAGACCCATGAATCCAGACATGGCCCTGGCAGCAGCTCAGGCTGGATGTCATCATGTCCCCTGGTGGCAGCACAAACCACTCAGATCAACATGGCCCAGAGGCGTTAAATTGAGTGTGGTGGTAAAAGTTTGTGATCCCAGCAGCTCGGAGGCTGAGGGAGGAAAACTGTCTGAAACTCAAGGTCAGGTTGATGGAAATCGTGAGCTCCAGGCCAGCCAGGTTACACAGTGGGACTCTCACTGAAGAGACAAAAACAGTGGACTGGAGAGACAGCTCAGCTCTTGGGAACCCTTGCTGCCCTTGCGGAGGATCCAGGTTTGATTCCCAGCAGCCACATGGTGATTACAACCACCCATAGCTCGATGTTCCTAGGGAATCTGATGTCTCTTTCTGGTCTCCTTGGATACCAGGCATACACACATTGCACATACGTACACGTAAGCAGAATACTCATATACATAAAATAAAAATACTACATAAATCTTTTTTTAAAAATCAGTCAATTAAATCAGCTTCCCTGCCTTTCAGCTGGGAGTCCTCAGATGAGCGACATACCCTTTCTGAGCTGCAGTTCCCTTAACAGTGAAATTGGACAGCTATACGACTGCTTTGAGAGGATGCTATAGTAAGACAATATGTGCCAAAACCAAAAACAAACAAAATGCCAGTGGTGGTGGCGCACACCTTTAATCCTAACACTTGGGAGGCAGAGCCAGGCGGATCTCTGTGAGTTCAAGGCCAGCCTGGTCTATAGGGAGAGAGTTCCAGGACAGCCAGGGCTACACAGAGAAACCCTGTCTGCAAAAATAAAAAGACAATAAGTGGGCTGCAAATGTAGTTTAGAGATGAGATGCTGGTCTAGCACGAATGAGGGCAAGTGAGGGCATAGCTTCCAGCCCCAGCACTGAATAAAAAAGAGGAGGGGCTTACTAAGTAGCAAAGTGCCAGCTGCTTGACAACAGGAGAGCCCCCCCCGCCCCCAGGGCCTGATCACCAAGGATACAGGAGCTGAAGGGAGAGTCAGTCCAGTGAGAGCCTCGAACTGAAACTCCAGACAATCATTTAATCCTGAAGTTGAGTGTGAGTGAAGCCAGTGCGCATGCGCTCTCTCTGTTTCTCGCTCCCTCTCCCTCTCCCTCTCCCTCCCTCCCTCCCTCCCTCCCACCCTCTCTCTCTGTGTACACATGTATGAGCATGAGTGTGGAGGCCAGAGGTCAACCTTGAGTATCATTCTTCAGGTGGTGGTCATTTTATTTTTGTTTTTGTTTTTTTAATCTCACTAAATAGCCCTGTTGGCCTGGAACTCCGAGACCCACTCGCCTCTTCTTCAATCCCAGGTATTAAAGGCGTATGCCACCACGTCCATCTACCTTGTTTTTTGAGACATGATCTCTCACTGGCCTGGAGCTTGCCAAGTATGCCAGACTGGCTAGCTAGGGAACCTTGGGATCTGCTTGTGTCTACCTTTTCGATACTGGGATGATAAGGGCATATCAACATGCCTACTTTTTTCCTCCCACGGGTTCTGGGGACTGAACTTAGGCCTTCAGGCTTGTAAGGCAAACCCTTCACCCATCGAACTGTCTCCCCAGGCCTGGTGGTCTTCCCTCTAGCCCCCATTCCACATCTGAGGACGCAGAGGCGAAGGAGATGCTGGTTATAGGAAGTAGTTGGGAGTTCTCATTTCCTTCCCTGCTCAGGAGCATCGTATCAGATGTCAGGATGGGTGACTGGAGTTCTACCAAAGAACTCAGCTCTTCTCCCTCTGAGCCAGGAATTCACAGGAACTTGGGGCTAGGACATCAGAGACCATTGATGTCTTCCTGTGCCAGTTTTGGCCAGAGAGGTTCTGTAACTTGTCCACACAGGTGGGCATTCAGTCTGTGCCCCCATCCACACCATTTTCCTGACTAAGCTACAGGCATCACCTCCCTGGGAGACCTTGGGCCTGTAGCCTTGCTTCCCTGAGCCTTCCTCATCCTGGAGATGGAAACAGTCACCACCGTCACAGGGCAGTCAGAACTTCAGTGGCTTCAGGGGCACAAGTCCTGAAAGTAGCTGTCTGTCCCTGCAGCCCCGATCATCTCTCTTCAGTCCAAGAGGAAGCCTGACCCAGCCCAGGTGACCCAGCCCAGGTGACCCAGCCCAGGTGACCCAGCCCAGGTGACCCAGCCCAGGTGACCCAGCCCAGGTGACCCAGCGTACTCACCCGCCCTCCAAGTCCTGGATGGTGTCGGGGAGTGGAATTCCCTGGGTCTCCGGGAGGGAGAACAGGAGGACCAGGCTTGAGGCAATGGGAAAAGCTCCATAGGTGAGAGTGGTGGTATCAGGGGCAGGGTCTGGCTGGCCATCTTAATCAAGGGGCCTGTTATGGATCCTAGGCGGCCCACAGATTGCAGGAAGCCATCTGCTGTCATCCTGTGGGAGGAGAAGAGGCTCAGATACAGTTGCCACTGTGGCTGGAAGGTGGTATGGCGGGGGCCCAGGGATTCAGGAGTGGGATAGCTGGGTACAAGAGTCACTGTCTTATCTCCAGAAGCAGCCACCTCCTCCACGGAACCCACCTTGGTTTCCCCATGGATCTTCAAGGTAACTCTCTAGACACAGCATCCTCTGTGTCTCTGGGCACCTGGGGGCAGCCTCAGTGTTTACCAGGCCACTCAGCTCCCAGCTCTGAGTCTCCATATTATAGGGGAAGTCAACAGACACCATCAAAACACATTAGTGAAGGCCAGGCATGGTGTTGGTCAGAAAGCTGAAGCAGGAGGATTCCTGTGAACGGGAGGCCAGCTTGGCCTACATGGTGAGAGTTGGTCTCAAAACAGCAAACCCAGTCTCAAGCCTGGGTATCCTGGAGGCTTTAAGGGGCCCTGTCAGCGCTCCCCACTGAACCTCTGGGGGCGTCCGTCCCTGGCTCTACGACCACACCCACTCCTGGGGTCCCAACAGCACCTACCTCAGCTGTGTGGGGAAGAGCTCTGTCTTGTACACAGAGAGAGACGACAAACAGACCCCGCAACAGCCTTTCCCTAGGATGGCCAGGGCCACACGAAGAGTCTGCAGGTCTGCAGGTACAATGGCGACAGTGAGGTGGAGTCAGCAGTCCTGGGCAGAGCCAATGCGGTGCCGGGCTACCTAGCACCAGGTGAGGACACAGTGTGGCACGAGGTACCTGACCAGGGGCCAGGGAAGAAAGACAGGTGTGTTGGGGTGGTCAAACCTGGGGCAAATTCACAGTATTTCCATGACAGGGAGGCTATGCCATGCCAGGTCCATAGCAGGGCTCTGGGACGCCCAGGTGCCTACAACCTTCTTATTACCCTTTGACCTATTTGTGAGGACCCGTGGCCGCATGACAGAACCCCTAGCTGGAAGCCGAGGCTGGTTCACTCTCCTGTGAGTCTGGCTTGAACTTTGTCCCCCTGCACTGTCTGACCTGGTCTCACAGGGGCTGGAGGTACGCCTCAGTGGTACAGCACTCACCCAGCCATCCTCACTCCGGGGGCGGGGAGTCTTTTGGCTGTTGCTGTCTTTGAGACAGGGTTTCTTCGTGTAGCACAGAGCTTTGTCTGCCTCTGCATTCTGAGTATGTCTCCACTGCCTGGCTGGAAAAAGTCTTATAGAGGTCGTGGAGAGGGCTCAGTTTCACACAGTGCTTGTCTCAAAGGCATGAGGGCCTGAGCCGATCACACCCAAGTTAAAGGCTGGTGTGGTGGTGTATATTATAATTTTAGTGCTGAGGAGGTAGAGACCTGTGCCTGCTGGGGCTGGCTAGCCAGGAAGTCTAGCCTAAACACTGAATTCCAGTCCAGAGTCACTTTTGAGACAGAGAAACTCTGTCTCAAAAGATACGGACTGCTGGGCATGGTGGCCCACACCTTTAATCCAAGCACTCAGGAAGCAGAGGCAGGTGGATCTCTGTGAGTTTCAGGCCAGCCAAGGCTACATAGTGAAACCCTGTCTTTTTTTTTTTTTTTAAAAAAAAGGGGGGATATGGATAACATTTCTGGAATAACATCTGAGGTTGACCTCTGATCTCTGAACAAGCTTACATGTGTGCACACACATGTACACATGGGACAGAAAACCAAAAACTGATAGTTTTAACATGATGTTCCCTATAAGTTTGAATGTTTATTCTCAGTTGGTGGCTGTTTGTGGAGAACTAGAAGGTGTGGCCATGCTGGAGGATTATGTCCCAGGGGTGGCCTTGGAGGTTTCAAAAGCCTTCCATCGCCATCCTGTGCCCTCCCTGCTTCCTGTGTGGTTGAGATGTGAGTCCTTGGTGTTCAGCTTACAGCTGGCATGTCTTCAGCCTGCTGTCTCAGCTCTGCCCTCACGGACTGTGACCCTCTGTAACTATAAGCCACGGGAGCCCTTCCCTCTCCAAGTTGTCTTGGTTATGATGCTCTGTCACAGCAACACGTAAGTCCCAGTCAAGTATAGTCTCACCAAAAGACTTCACCTCTGAAGACTTCTCAGAGCTCTGCATACTGCCCTATTTTGGGGTGGGTGGAGGGGATTGCTGTGGCCCAGGGTCAGGCACAGGTCACCTTCTCCTTCACTCAGACCCTGCGGGCTGCCAGCAGGGGCATCTCTCTGCATTCCTCCTGGCTATTACTGTAGTGCAGGACACAGGTCCCTTTCCCCAGTCTCCAGCTGAGCCTTGAGAGGGGCAACGGGAGGGTATCAGGTACTACAGCTCCATCCAGAAGAAAAAACCAACTCCTGGTCCCCAGAGCCTCCCCAGCACCGTGCGTAGGAGAGACCAGCTGCGTTAACAAGCAAGGAGACGCTGCCATGGCAGGTGTGGTGTAACACTTTCAATCCTAGCGCTTGGGAGGCAGAAGCGAGTGGAGCTCTAAGGGCCAGCCTGGTCTACATAGCAAGATTCAGGCCATCCAGTAGTGAGACTTTGTCTCAGAGGACGGGGAAGAGGAGAAAGAGAAGAAGGAGGAAGAAGAGTACCTGTTACCACTGCTGCCTGGCGTGGTGGTACTCACCTGTGATCCCAGAAGCAGGCAGGCAGGGCAGGAGGATTAGGAGTTCAAGGCGATCCAAGGCTACATGGGAGTCTGAGGCCAGCCTGAGCTACTTGAAGTCCTGTCTCCAAGCAACTGAAGCCAAAACAAGTGACAAGAAGAAACACCCGAACAGATGCAAGTCTGAAAAATCACGCACGCACGCACGCACACGCCCTTTCAGCCCACTCAGGTCCAAACCCTGGCTGTCTGTGTCACTGAGTAATTCAGGAAACTGCTTCACTTCTCTGAACCCCAGTTTCCTCCTCTGGGAAATGGTCAGGGGCTTTGTGATGGTCACAGACCAGGCAGAACTGAGGTGCCGTGGCTGTGGTTCAAGAGAAAAAAGAAGTGGCGTGGAAGGGCGTGGCGTGGCTGGGTGACAGGACTCTGCCCTGGCCTCCCTGCTCAGCCTCTTGTCTCACCTTGTGGCACCAGCGCATTGGCTGAGATGCAGAACCCCGCCAGGGCAAAGAAGCCTACCAGGGTCCTGCGGCGGCCCAGGAACCTGAGCAATGGGACGGCTGTGGCTCGGCCCAGGAAGTTCACGGCTCCAAAGAGGGTCTGCAAGAGGAAGATGTTCCCGCCCAGGCTTTGCAGGTCCAGGACCAGGCCATAATAGGACAACAATAGGGAAAAGCTGTGGGCAGAGCCAGAATCAGGTGCATGCCACCAAGGAGTGACCCCAGCCCGAAGCATCATCTCTCACTGGCTTTGTCCCAGGGAAGGTGACAGCAAAGAGGGAGCATGTTCCTCAGCCGGGGAGAGCATCCCAGGACAGAGCCACAGGAGCATGGAGGGCCTCCAGAAGGGCCACCTGGTTCCCAAGCTCCCTGACTCCTCAGTCACTCCTGAGGACAGGGTGGCCTCATCCTCCAGCTCCAAGGTGCTCGAATTTAGTAGTGGCTACAAGGTGAGGTGATTCCTCACCACTCTTAAGCCCCCAGTGGCTTTGCCCAGTAGATGTCGACAGCCTGGGTGACGGCTGCAGAGCAAAGCTTGGTGTGACAGAGGTTCCAGCTTCTCAGACTTCTGTGGACACTGACTGTGGAGGATTTAGACCGGATCCCTTCCATGGAAACCGCAGAGAGTTGTGGGTAATGGCAGGGTTAGCATTTCAAAGCCTCTGATTTGAATAACAAAAGATATTCTGTGGCCCCTGGGAGAGCCAGGAAGCCTTGAAGGTTTTTTTTTTTTTTTTTTAAAGAGGGGTGGGGATGGGGTTCAAATGTTGGCTTCCTTCTAATTTATCAAGAGAAAGAAAAAAAAAACCTAAAAATGAAATATTACCAAAAAAAGCATTTGATCCCATTCTTTGTTCAGACATAAATTATTAGTGGTTATAACGTATATGTGGCTAACTATAGTGTAAAAGACACATTATTTTCCATCGGGTTTTTTTTTTTTTTTTTTTTTTTGGTTTTGGTTTTGTGATGGGCTCATGTAGCCCAGGCTAGCCTACCACATCCATTTTTGTGTGGTGCTGGGGATTGAACTTAGAGCTTCCTGCATGATAGGCAGGCACTCCCAGCTTCAACTTAGTTTTATTGGCAACCAAATTCCAATCAAGCCTCATCTTCCCTTTTCAGATGCTCTTTGGATGTCATGCCAACTAAATTTGCTTACAGGAGATATTTGCTGATCCCTAGTGCTTCTCAAGGCAGGGCCTCTCTGTGCAAGGCATGGTGGGTAATAGATGGGGACCAGGAAGCTGCTTGGCCAGAGTTCAAGTACAGTCTCCCACTAGGAACTACTCACTCATCTGGGACCTACTTTTCCCATCTGCGAAATGGGAGCTATAAGGAGACTCTCAGCCCTTGTCACCCTCTGGGGCCTAACTGTAACCACGAGCTGTTAAGGCTGGCAAACAGCGTCCTCTTCAGCTATGGTCCATCTCCAGGCGAGTGTGGCCCTGGTCTCCTGCAGGGACTGCCATTCCAGCTGCAGGGACTGCCATTCCAGCCGCAGGGACTGCCATTCCAGCCGCAGGGACTGCCATTCCAGCTGCAGGGACTACCATTCCAGCCACAGGGACTACCATTCCAGCCGTGCCTCTCAGCTGGCTTCCAGCACACACTCATGCCCAGGTCAGCTTCTCCCTTGTCAAACCAGCCTACTAGGACTCCTGTCTCTCAGATGTCCTTGGGAGACCTGAGGGTGCTGGGTTTCCTGGACACCACCCCCATGCCCCAGCTGTGCCTCTGAGAGAGGTGACCAGCACATCATACTTCACCAATGCGATGACGCAGGTTCTCTGGAAGAGCATGGGCACACGGAACAGGTCCAGCACAGATCCCTGAGTCTCAGTTGCCTCCCTGGCCATGCTAGATGTCAGCACCTCCAGGAGGGGAGAAAACAGGAGCAGTGTTAGGGTGACAGGCCTGTGCCGTCCAGGCAGTGGTCCTCAAGTGAGTAAGATCGAGGGCTTAGCCTGGCCTGGGCCTCTGGACCTGTGACTGGGAAGGGCAGCAGAGGTCTCCTCTGGCCTCTGTGGCCTCTTCTGCAGGCCTGGCCTACTGAACTGAACAGAGGAGCAGCCACAGGTGCCTGTCAGGCACAAGAGCCCTGATGACTGGCACCCTGATGATGGCATGCCCACCCTGGCCAAGCTGGCCCCTTCTCTAAGGGCTCATTCAGTCCACTTGTACCTTGAGCCCTCATAGCCTGGCATTAACTATCTGGCCTGTTTCTGGTCGCTCCCCCTGGTACCTCCACAGAACTCTATGTCCTCTATCTTCTGCAGAATCTCCACATACTTTCTAAAAATAGCTAGCTTCAAATAACAACCTTATTTCCCCGATACATCAAGGGATCCATGAGGCAGGTGTGTGAGACACACAGGTTTAGGTCACGGATGAGACAGGTGATAATAGTAGTATTGTTATTGGTAGTGATGGTGGGGATGGCAGTGATGGCAGGGATGTGGTGATGGTGCTGATGGTAAGAGTGATGGGGATAGTGGGCCTGGTGGGCATGGCAATGATGGTGGGAATAGTAATGATGGTAGTGATGCTGGGATGGTGATGATGGTGGAGATGGCAATGATGGTGGAGGGGATGGACACAGTGGGGATGGAAGATGCTACGGGCTGCAGGAATATATTATAAGAACTCAGCTAGTTATGGCAAAGCCACTACCTGAAGGGATCAAGGAGTTCCTTCAGAGGAAGCCAAATCTCAGGGAATATTTGGTGCTATTTGGCTCATTATATATCAGCTGTCTTCTGTTATGAAAATTTTGTGTACCCTCATAACTTTCCCAACTGATTTTTTCCTAAGAACTGCTAATAGTGTGGACTGATCACTCTTTGGACATATATGTTCAAGAACATATATTTGAAGAACAGCCTCAGGAAAGGCTTCCTTCCCTCAGGCTCATCTGTTTCTCCCATTTTAGTACTGGAATCAGATATCTCCCTTAGCCACATTCTAGGACTAACAGAAATAACAGTCCAGACCACCACATGCTAGTTTCCTGATTTAAGGTAAACTCCACACAGAGACACTGCCTAGGTCAGGTGGACCTTAAATAATAGCTTCGCACAACTTAGCGCGGACCCTCCTTTCTTACAGCCTCACTAACTTCTTACCTAACCACTCCTCGGGATGTAGATGGAGCACATAAATTCCCTTTTTGATATACTAACTGATCATTAGCTCTCTGTTGACCTCCTCCTTTAACCACTCCCTTTTCAGGTTGTAAAAGAAAGCCTGACAGTCACTGCCACAGAAAAATTCTTACCTGCCTTTCTGACATTACAGGAATTCAGGCCCGGTAACCTGGCTCGAGGGGAGGTTTGTGATTGCTTGGCTATATAATTGTAAAGCTAGAGACTGGAGGAGGGATAAAGAAAATGGACTAATGAGCTTTGTGTGCATAGGTTGATTTGCCAACCTTAAGAATAGATTCTCAGCTGGTTGATAGATTCTTTCCTGGACCCTGGACAAGAGACTATTAGGTGCTGGACCCCAATAGTCCTTAACAGGTAGAGATTATGGTGATGGAGAGGGTGGTGATGATGGGGAGGGTGGGGATGATTGTGATGGTGAACATGATGATGATGGTGGATATGGTAGCGATGATGGCGGTCATGGTGATGATGATGGGGATGGTGATGATGATGGTGGTTGTGGTGATAAAGATAGCAGAAGTGATATATGTTATAGTGATAGTGTTTTGTAGAGATATTGATGGTGATATTAATGATAGTGTTTGTTGTGGTGAAGAGGAGATCCATTGTGGCAGAGGAGGTGGTTGTAGAGATGGGCTGTGGTGGTTCTAATGCTGCTGCTGAAGGTGTTGACAATGATCTTGCTTTGATTGGTGATAGCAACAGTATTCATGTAGTGATGGTGGTACTGATGGGTATATGACTTCATGTGATGATGGTGGTAGTTTATGTGATGTTCTTGGTAAACTCGATGGAGATGTTGGTGCAGTAGACAACGGAAGCTGGAGGCAATACAGATAACACCCTATTGGACATATTTTCCTGACTCACCTCTATGGTCAGCGTCTGTTTGGCTTCTTTGTGGCCATTTATCCTGGCTACCTTCTGGAGTTCCTGAAGCGCTTTTTCTGGTTGGCCTGTAGTAATCAGCCATCGTGCAGATTCTGGCAGCCACCTGTCAAAGAAGCAGGTACTTGGCTAGAACTTTGCTGTCCTGGAACACTATGGGTACTCCTGAGTTGGTTTGGAGGGGACAGTAGACAACAGAGCCCCCAACTTGATGTGACAGAGGAGCAGGAAGGTACTTTGCATCTGTCTTGTGCTGTGGGATGTCTTTCTGTATGCTGTGAATGTATGTGGCTCCCATTGGATAACAATAAAGCTGTTTTGACTTACAGCAAGAAAGTTTACAGCCAGGTGGGAAATCCAAGCAGAGACACAGAAAGAAGAGGGCAGAGTCAAGAGAGACTTGAGCTGCCACCAAAGGAGCAACAAGATGCCAGCAGACCAGTAAAATCGTGGCCATGTGGCAACACATAGATTAATAAGAATGGGTTAATTTAAGATGAAAGAGCTAGGTAGTAAGAAGTTGAAGCCATAGGTCATACAGTTCGTAATTAATATAAGCCTCTGAGTTATTATTTTATAAGCAGCTGTGGGACTGTGGGGCTGGGCTGGACCAAGAAACTTCTGGCTACAATTGGCACCCAAACATGGTAGCAAGAATTTCCACCATTACCTTAGAAAGTTTTAAAAAAGATTCTAAAGTGGAGCTTAAAACAGCTTCCTAGTTGTGTCTCTCAGGCAAGCCATGATACAGAGATACCATGGCATGTGGGCTTGAGCTACAGTATGGTGGGTTCAAGGTATGTGGGCTTGACCTACAGCATGGCAGATTCCCACCATGGTACATAGAGGTGTCCCCAAGCCATGCAGTGCACTGCATGGTGAATTTAGCTTTTGCTAGTACAGACAGAAAAAAAGGTTTCTGGGCTACATACTGCTGGATGGAGGCATAGACCCTGTTTCCCAGAGTTGGCAGTGAGCATGGCTCCCAGAGCTGGTGGTAAATGTACCTCCACCATGTTGGGATGTTGGGAAGCTGTGGCAGGGGGAGTCAACAGCTTAACAGTTTAAAATCTCTCATGGTCAGAGAAGGATTATAGATTCACAATAAGACAGATTTAGATGGAATAAAACTCTAAACGGTTTACAGTGTGTGTAAAAATGTACATAGGCTTGGAAGAGAGAGGAAAAGGAAGATAGACAGCTATATAAAGAAATAGTTTTTAAAAATAAAGTCTTTAAAGAGACAATAAAAGTTAAGCCATGTAAAGATGGAAATTACACAGAGAGTCTGGATTGTGTTGTCTTTGGGATTTTTAACTGGAGAGAGACATTTGATTTTAAAGGCTTCTGAGTTAAACCAATAAATAAATTTTAAAGGTATCTTGGCTTCAAAATTTGGGTCTAAGGATATATTGCTTTGGAAAGGAAGCTCTGTTTTTGTTTCCACAGGAAGCAAGAGGCTGTGGATTTGTTTCAGGTTAAGATGGATCAGATTTGATCAAGGGAGACCTCCTGAACCTTGACAGATGGTATCTATCAGCAAAGGTTATAGCCAGTCTTCCCAGGACTTAACCAGTATCTTGACTTTTCTCAGGATCCCCATAAGATTAATAGCAACCCCAATCAGCAGGAAGTAGCCTAGAGGATTATGCCCACATTCCTGCCCCCCAAAATGGATTATGGATGTTTGTCTTTGTTTAGAGGTTGGTTACAAATTATTATGGGTCATAGTCAATCTCTTTCTAAAAGAAGAAAGGGGGATATGATATAGAAATGTAAGATATAGATATGATAGGATAAAAGGGTAGATTGTTGAATCTACTTTTAAAAAGCAACAACTCATTTAAAATATTTTACATTGCTATAGATTATAGTTTATTGACACAAATTAAAAGTTAATTTTGTTATACTGTATGTATATTTCTACTCTTGTTTAAGGTACTATGCTTATGCAATTCACTTAAAATTGTAAAATATAATTAAGAAATACAGATTAACAGTCATCTATGATAATCAAACCTATAGTCATGCTAGTTAAGTTTTCTAGGTATACATAGCTATATTTCAATTAGGTAGGTAATCTTCAAACACTTCAAAGATCTACAAAATATGGCATATAAGATGTTTTAAGAACTTAGACTTTTCTGGACATTAAGACATGTCTGCTCCTGGCAGTACCAATCTACTTCAGAGAAGATGATGGGCATTGAAGAAACTCCATATGGAGTTCGCTTTTTTTGTGGCAAAAGTTAGCTACTGGGCAAAAAAGTGCCCTTGCCTCTACTGCTTGACAGGATGCAGTATAAAATAGACACGCAGAACCCATAGGAAGGTGATCACTGAACTTTTCAGGTTCCTGCTTCATAGAAGAAACTGCCAGACATTCTACAGGACATGGGGAGAAGCAACTAACAAACTTTGCCAGAATGAGCAGAATAGTCCTTAAAATTTCCTGCTTCATTGAAAGCTATACCAGAGACTCTAGGCCTATAGGCTGAAGATGGATGCCCCAGTGTTACAGAGGAACTTTGGATGACTGTCAGGCAGCCAGATGTTTCTGTCATTTCTAGAATTATGGAAGTTGCTTGCAATGCACTTCCTGTTTACTTAGATAATATTATATCCTTCTGGGGTCTTTGATGGAATTGAAGACTAGATAGTTATAATTATAGTTTCCCTTGGTCATGATAAAAGATAAATTAGATATAAAACTTTGGACTCACAAAAATAGGATAGGTGATAGAATATTTTCTTTAATTTTGCCAAATACAGATAGACTAGATATTGTAACTATAATTCCTGCTTGATAACTGTTTTGTTATATGTAATTTTACTATGTTAAAGTTAAAACCTTCCTTTTTGATTAGATAGAAAAGGTGAAGTGCTGAGGGATGTCTTTCTGTATGCTGTGAATATGTGTTGCTCCCATTAGATAATAAATAAAGCTGTTTTGGCCTATGGCAAGAAAGCTTATAGCCAGGTGGGAAATTCAAGCAGAGACACAGAAAGAAGAGGGCAGAGTCAAGAGAGACTTGAGCTGCCACCAAAGGAACAACAAGATGCCAGCAAACTGGTAACACCATGGCGCAACACATAGATTAATAGGATGAAAGAGCTAGATAGCAAGAAGCTGAAGCCATAGGCCATACAGTTTGTAATTAATATAAGCCTCTGTGTGTTTACTTGGTATTGAGCAACTGCGGACTGGATGGGACACAGAGAAACTTCCCTCTACAATCCTGTTAAAATAGGATTGGGCAGCTTGAATTCAGCTGAGCCCCAACACCCAGACTCCCTCCCTCTTCTTTTCTGGGCCGCCTCCACCTGGCCTCCCTTGATGCCGGGAGCTCCATGTCTAGTCTATGTAAAGACTATGGGGACACAGAAGCTGCCTCTCCAGGGACTCTGAGGTCAGTTCTGTGGTAGAAAGGCCACACGGGCTGGTGGGACGCTTCAGCAGGTAAAGGGACTTGCTCCCAAGCCTGGCCGCCTGACTTGAGTCTCTGGGACTCACACGATGAGAGGAGTTGTTCCCTGACCGCCACATACACAGTGACACACACTCACTGCCCCAGGAAGTAAATAATAAAGAAACCTAAAAGAAAGCTTGACTCACACACACACACACACACACACACACACACACACACACACACAGTGACACACACGCACTGCCCCAGGAAGTAAATAATAAAGAAACCTAAAAGAAAGCTTGACTCACACACACACACACACACACACACACACACACACACACACACACAGAGAGAGAGAGAGAGAGAGAGAGAGAGAGAGAGAGAGAGAGAGAGAGACTTAGTGTTGTTTTATTCTGATTTTTTTTGGCTTTATTTTTTATTACTGTTTAATTCCCATAAGGCAGAGATAAGTGAACCAGCCTGGTCTCCAAAGCAAGTTCCAGGAAAGGCACAAAGCTACACAGAAAAACCCTGTCTTGAAAAACCAAAAAAAAAAAAAAAAAAAAAAAAGATTAAAAAGTGAATCTAGGGCTGGAGAGATGGCTCAGTGGTTAAGAGCACTGACTGCTCTTCCAGAGGTCCTGAGTTCAATTCCCAGCAACCACATGGTGGCTCACAACCACCTGTAATGAGATCTGGTGCCCTCTTCTGGCCTGAAGGGATACATGCAGGCAGAATACTGTATACATAATAAATAAATAAATCTTAAAAAAAAAAATGTTAAAAAAAAAAAAAAGTGAATCTATAAAGCCAGCTGCTTCTCCACAACCTTAAGGGCTGCTATCCTGGGGAGCATTTCTCTGGCCAAAGACACTGAGTTTGCCTGTTTGAGGCAGTTTGGCACAGTGGCTAAGCTGGCCAAGCCAGGGGCACAGGCCTGTGGTCCTGCTGCTCAGAAGGTTGAAGCAGTAGGTTCACAAGGCCAGTCTGGGCCATGTAGTTGGTTTCAGGCCAGCTGGGGCAATTTTGTTTCAAAATAAAAAAAGTAAAAAGAAACCCAAAATATAAGTCAGTGGTACAGTGGCCCTTCAGTCTCATCCTGAATAAAAAAGTAAAAAATAGGGGCTGGAGAGATGGCTCAGAGGTTAAGAGCACCAACTGTTCTTCCAGAGGTCCTGAGTTCAATTCCCAGCACCCACATTGTAGCTCACAACCATCTGTAATGAGATCTGGCACCCTCTTCTGTATACATAATAAATAAATAAATATTTAAAAAAAAAAAGTAAAAAATAAAACAAACCTGCCTGCCCAAGTTCAAATCCTGCCTCTGGTTTTTATCAGCCTGTCTGATTTGGGACAAATGATGAACCCTCACCTGCAAACAGAGGCACTCAGTATCTTATCAGTAAATGTGTGGTCACACCTCCAGTGTCACAAACCACACTGGCTAGGTACCAAGTCCCTGTAACTTGTCATCCAGTAGCATGATACATCATCATGCCATGGCCGGCTTCTTTGTTCATCAGTGCTCGTCACAGAGTGGAAACACTATGCTGTTTTAGTTCCTGGTGTGTCTTCAGTGCCTGGAACCACATCTGGCCTGAGGCAGGAACTCAGTCCTATTTAAGAATGAATGTAGTCTTCCACACCCTACAAGTGTCTGACTGGGGCCTGGACTGACTGGTTCCAGTCTGTGGGTGCCAGAGAACCACAGTGACATTTGTTTGTATTGGTTTTCCTGTCCCTCCACACAGCCCCCACCCAAGCAAGGGTTTCCAGATGTTTGCAGGACTCTAAAAGTAACAATGACACCCACAGTCTCATCTCCAACACCGGTCCTTGCAGACTTGGATGCCAAGTGCCCTGCGAGGGTCAGGCTGGGGTCGGGGACAGTGCCGGCATGAAAGGAGGGTGGGTTAGCCCCAGCCCAGAGGACAGAAGCTGCTACCCTGCTTCTACCCCATCCCTGCCTGGTGGGACCTGGGACCTTCTCATTTTCCAAGAAAAGGTGCTAGCATTACTTGTTTCTGTTTTTAAGATCTCCTGGTTTTAAGTGTTGGTAATGTCGCCTCTCAGGTCAACACTGTGTGATCCCCACCTGGCAGGAACCACAGGCTTCTGGCCAAAGCATTCACCCAGGACTCCAAATGATGAGCGTCTTTGTCTTCCTGTGGTTCCCAGCAGGATGTGACCAGTTAGAGGGTGAGACAGGAAGACTCACTCCCTCAACGGGTCTCCCATGAAAAGAGACCCCAGTGTACTGACCAGGACAGCAGGAATATGGCGAAGAAAGGGATGGACACAGCCAGTTGGAGGTTTCGCCAGTCCCGCAAGGCCAAGGCCAGGCCTGCCAAGGCCATCTGGCCTGTGCTGTAAGCGCAGCCCAAGATCGTCATGGTAACATCCCTCCTGCGGATTGTGGTCCACTCAGCCACTGAAAGGTGATGCAGAGGCCCAGAGTGAGGTTCAGGCCCCTTCTACTCTAGGGCAAGAGGAAGAGCGAAGGCCTCCAGGGTACCTACTCAGTGTGGACTGGGCCATAATGATACCAGCCAGCCCAAAGGCACTCAGGAACCAAAGACCACAGTAGATGAAGAAGTTGGGAGCCAAGATGGCGCCAGCACCAGCCACAGCCACTTTCAGACAGCACCAGACCAGTATCGGCTTTCGCCCCAGCCTGTGAGGATGAACAAGTGGGGTGTGGGGGTGTCCCTGGGGACCCCACGCAGGGCAGGTGATACCTGCTCAAGGCCTGACAAAGGCAGACAAGTGCAGCCAGCTTTACCTTCTCAGAGCTTCTAGAAACTTCTGGAAACATGGAAGGCTTTGTTATTAAAATGCTAGTATCTTGCTCTCAGGGTCAGTACAAACTTGTGGTTGAGAATATGGCTTTGGGCCCCAGTCACTGAGCAGTCGCCGAGGACTCAGCTGCCTCCCCCTTGAGCCCCCTCGCTTCCCAACGCTCTGTCCCGTCCCCCCACCCCGTCCCTCCCTCCCTGCCCTCTCCCGCAGCCGCCTTCCGCAGGCCGTTTCCACCAAGGAAAAGGAATCGTATCATATGTCCGCCATCCAGAACCTCCACTCTTTCGACCCCTTTGCTCATGCAAGTAAGGGTGATGACCTGCTTCCTGCTGGCACTGAGGATTATATCCATATAAGAATTCAACAGAGAAACGGCAGGAAGACCCTTACTACTGTCCAAGGGATCGCTGGTGATTACGATAAAAAGAAACTAGTGAAGGCGTTTAAGAGGAAATTTGCCTGCAATGGTACTGTAATTGAGCATCCAGAATATGGAGAAGTAATTCAGCTACAGGGTGACCAGCACAAGAACATGTGCCAGTTCCTGATAGAGATTGGACTGGCTAAGGATGACCAGCTGAAGGTCCATGGGTTTTAAGTGCTTGTGACTCTCTGAAGCTTCAGTGAGGATTTCCTTGCAATGAGTAGAATTTCCCTTCTGTCCCTTGTCACAAGTTTAAAAACCTCACAGCTTGTATAATGTAATCATTTGGGGTCTGCTTTTAACTTGGACTAGTGTAACTCCTTCATGCAATAAACTGAAAAGAACCATGAAAAAAAAAAAAAAGAATATGGCTTTGGCATCAGGCATCCAGGTCTGAGTCCCCTGGGGCTCAGTGGCAACATATGGGTGACCTGAGAGGAAGCCACCTCTGTTTGTTAGGCAAACACTGGAGTTTGCCTAACACCTTCATGCCTTCTGCTCCCAGAGAGTTATTCTGTCCTGGGCGAGCCAAGAGGAGAGGAGATACTCACCGGTGGGAGAGAAATCCCCAGACAAAGGCTCCTGCCAGGGTCCCAGACATGAAGATGGCCTGGCCCAGGGGCTTCAGGCTCTGGGAGCTACACACCAGGTCCCACTGGAAGAGAGAGAAGCTGACAGTTTCCATGTTCCATGGAAGGGGTGGCTGGTGGAGGGCTGAGTGGAGGGTCTTCTGCCAGGAGCTGGTCAGCCTGGGTCCTCAAGGCCCGATCCCCACAAGGATCCCAGTGGCAGACTAGAGGAGACAGGGTTTGTGGGCACCACGGAAGCTCAGCCACTGGACACGGCCTGTCTCGCATCTGATAGCTTCATTTATTTAACAGGGACAGTGACAAGACCAGCCCACAGGACTATGTGAGGGCATGTCTAGAAGGCCAGCCTGTGGAACAGTCTGCTGAGCCAGCCTCGCTATTCTAAATGCTGACTGTGTGGAGGGGTCAGTCCCACGCTCCTGTCTATCCTGAAACCCAAGCCTACATCTGAACGTGGGTCGCCATAAGCCATCAGAAGTACAAGCCAGATGATAAAACCCTCCACTTGAGGGAAGGGTCTGGAGAGGAATATGCTTGCCACAGAAGCAGAAAGATGTGACTTCAATCTCCAGAATCCACATAAAAAGCTGAGCGTGGTGGGGTGTGCTTGTAATCCCAACATGGGGGTGGGAATAGACAGAGGACTCTCTGGCCAGGCAAGTCGGGGAGCCTGCTGTCCCAAGACAGGGAGATTCTGTCTCACAAAACAAGGTGGAGGCTGGAGAGATGGCTCAGATAGTTAAGAGCCCCTGGTGAGGACCAGCATTCAGATGCCCACCCATATAATAAGTCAGGCATCTGGAACCCCAGCTCTGAGGGGAACAGAGACAGAAGGATTCTAGGGCTTGCTTGCTTCTGGCCTAGCTGAGAAAATGTGAGGCCAGGTTCAGGGAGAGACCCTGCCTCTCAGGGACAGGCAGTGACAGAAGACACCTGACACCTTTGGACTCTTCAGGTGTGCATAGGCACTTGCACATAGACATCTACACATACCCAGACACCACACACACACACACACACACCCAGACACCACACACACACACACACACACACACACACACACACACACCCAGACACCACACACACACCCAGATACCACACACACACACACCCAGACACCACACACACACACACACACACACACACACACACACACACACACACAGACCACACACACACACACACACACACACACACACACACACACACAATTTTTTAAAAGGTGCATGGTCTAGAGGAATGACCCAAAGTTGACCTCCAGCTTCCACATGCACATACATGCATATACATATATACCTGTTCATGGACGCACTTGTGCACATACACACTCTCCCCCACCTCTCTCTCTACTTGAGCAAACTATTCCTAGATCCATCTGTGTTCCTGTACACTCCAGTTTTGTTAAAGGACTCTGCTTAGACTGTTTAGCAAGAACATCCCACTCTGTCTCGGTGAGAATCCTGGTTTAGCCAGCCGCCTCCAAAATTGCCATTTTTTTCTCCCTCTGACCCTCCCAGGCTCCTAGCTGTGACTGCGCTTTTGTCTTGAGTGGGGGCCCATCTCTTACCCCCACGGCAAGACACATCTCTACCTGAGGGTTTCACTCCCTGTGGAGAGATCAAATCTGCCTTCCCACACTGGAAAACTGGGTAACTGTTTCATGTGTTGGTGTGTGCATGGCATGTGTGTGTGGGTACATATGTGTGTGTACCGGTTGAAGCTGACAATAGATATCTTTCTGAATCACTCTTCACTTTATGGTTTGAGACAGGGCCTCTCACTGAAGCTGGAGTTCACTGATTCGGTTGGACAAGCTAGCAGGTAAGCCCCAGAGATCTTCCTGTCTCTGTCCCTTAGCACTGCCCACGTCTACCCCTTTTGAGATGGGTGCTGAGGGCTTGAATTCAGGTCTTCAGCAAGCAGTCTACCTGCAGAGCCATCTCCCCAGCCCTGCATAACACTTGAACATGTGTTTGTCATGCAAGGCTGGGGAGGAGGCAAGGTGAGCAGGCCAGCTCTGGGGACCCTTACCCTGGTTACAACGGTCGACGTGAAGGTACTGTGGTCATAGACCCAACCATCCACACATGGCTCTGTGGCGGCCTCACTCCTGTTGGCAGCTGTGGCATTGGGGTCCAGGAACTGCCACTGTGGATGGTGGAAGCGGCGGCACTGCTCAGGCTGCAGGTTGAGGCCGAGTGGGATGGAGATGGCCAAGAGGGCCTCTCGGGTCAGGTTAGTGGGCTCCTCAGAGCTGTTGTCCAGCACATGGGCCCAGCAGCGGTGGTCTGGGACAGCGGCCGAGAAATTCTCCAGAAGTATGTGAAAAGGTGCCAAGAGGGCAGGGGAGAAGCAAGGTGCAGATCTGCAGGACCTGGAAGAGTCCCACACCCCCAGCCCTGGCCAGAAGCTCCTCAAATGCCATGAGTAGAGCTGATCCTAGCCGTCGGGGAGTGCTGAGACCTGCTGGTCCTTATGGATGCCAAGTGCTCCCAAGCTCCTCCTTGCTCTGCTGGTGGAGACTGGAGTGGGGTGGGTGGGAGGATAAATGTCTCCTTGTCTTGTTTCCAGGAGTGATCACTGGAATGTCCCAACACTGTAGAGTGGACGTCAGGTAGAGAGCTTACTGGGCCAAGCTACCTGGAAGGCCGGTCTGCTACTAGGTCAGGATGGGGAGGCCTGAGCCCTCTCTGGTTTCTCTGGTACCAAGAGGGAAAAGTCAAACAGATTTTTCCAAGCTCCAGTGCAAAGGTGTTACTGAGTTACAGCCATGGAGGGACTGGTTATTGCCACTGCTTACCTGGGGGCTGTCAACGTTCAACCTCAGCCTGGGCTTCAGTTCCTGCCTCTTCTCACTCAGGGACTTTAGACCCTTTCAAACTCTTGGCATAGGGCTGTCCAATCAGAAAACCATGGGCCTCACTTGAGCCCAGCCAGCTCAGTGGCTGATGCTGACAATCGCCGGTTATGGACGTATTTACTTCTTTATCTGGGGGCATGTGTATGTGTGTGCGAATGTATGTGTAGGTCAGAGGACAGACTACAGGGTTGGTGCTCTCCCCCTGTCATACGGGTTCCAGGGATTAAACTCAGGTCCCCAGGCAAGAGCCTTTGCCCACCTAACCCTTACAGAGCTCGTTTTTTCTGAGGCTCTCTATCAGACCGGAATCTTTACGGTGGAAGCCATGGCTGTCGTTTCTTAGCATCTCTCCGAAGTCACTCAAGGGCCTGAGCAGATGTGCATGTGTGGAACTTCACCATTTCTGTTCTCACCCAAAGCCAGGCCTTCTCCCGTGTTCCCTGTGGGGATGAAGCCAGCCTGACCCGAGTGCAGCATCTGAGCTGTGCCCCGTGGTGACACCTGTCCTCTGCTCCCAGATTCACCTCCTTGTGAGCTGTGCTCTGCCCTCATTCACATCTCATAGCAGCCCAGGACAGAAATGGTGTCAACTCCCTCCAACAAGAAAACGAGGCTCAAAGAGGGCAGGCAACTTGACCAAGGTCAGTCAGGCTCAAATTCGAACCAGGCACCAAAGCCTGAGCTCTCCTGGATGTCCCAGGGGCAGTGCCTGAGTGTCCCCCAGCTGATCTGGAATACAGGATATGGGTCAGAATCTCAGCCGGCCCCAAGTCACCTCTCTGCGTACCAGAGGGAAGTGTCTGAGTAGGTTTTAGAGAGAGAGTTATGCGTGGGTGAGGACCCTGAACGTTCAGGAACCTCCCTAGAGGGCTGGGGGAGCTATGTGGGACTCCCTTGCTCTGCCTCAGCATGGGAGCTCACTGTACTGTCTGCAATAGCAGATCCAGAGAGACGGGGTAACCAGACCAGAGGAACCCATGAAAGGTGGTGGGAGAGGGGTAGGCCAGGCCCAGCCACAGGGTCTGGTACCCTGGCGTTAACCTTGAGCATGGCCTCGCCTCCCTGTCCCTCTGATTTTCAGTCTGTGAAACAGAGCAACGTTTGCAAACCTGAGCATACATCAAAGACCAGGGCTGGTCTCTCGCCGGCACTGCCCTGCCCCCAGCCTCTGGGGATTCTGCTGTGCTGAGAGTCTGGGTTCCAGGAGGCAGAAAGCCAAAGCGTGGGGGGTGGGGATTCATTTCCCTTCCAACTCCTTCCCTGCCCTTTGCCTGTCACGGACTCCTCCAGGATTTGCTAGCAGAAGGTCAAACCTCCCGGATTTGCCAGAAGGCTCTCGGAATCTCCAGCTGACTTCCACGTCCAGGCCAAAGAATTTTTAATTTGTATTTTCTGCTTTTCTAGGGCTGCTGGGGGCAGGGCGCAGTGCGGCTGCTCCACCACCACCTGGTGGTCACACCCGGGACTGCAGCACTTCCAAGCACCAGGCTGAGCTTGCCCCGTTTGGTGCCTGTCTCCTCAGGCTCCGCAAGGATGAACATGTCCCTGAGGAGAAGGCCCTTGGGAAGAAAGGCTGCCTGCTTTAGATGATGGCTGCTCTCTGGGGAGTCCCACTAAACTTGTCTGGATGAGGTGAACACCTGTTCCTCACAGAACCAGGATTGATGTTGGGTTCACTTTCCCAGCCTAGGGCTCCCATGAAGGAAACCAAAGGCTAGGCTGGCTGCCAGATGACCTTACCAGGTCCTGCCCCTTTCTTGTCTCCAAGGTGGGGTCTTTCGTTTAAAGTGGTAAGATTAAATGAGACAATGGACAAACGAACGTTTACTTGGACCACGATCACCATCTCCACCATCATCCGCCCGACCACCATCTCCACCATCACCATCTCCACCATCACCATCTCCACCACCACCACCATCTCCACCATCACCATCACCATCCCGCCACCACCACCACCATCTCCACCATCACCATCACCACCACCACCACCACCATCCCCACCACCACCATCTCCACCATCACCATCACCACCACCACCACCATCCCCACCACCACCATCTCCACCATCACCATCACCATCACCGCCACCACCACCACCATCTCCACCATCACCATCACCGCCACCACCACCACCATCTCCACCATCCCCACCACCACCATCTCCACCATCACCATCACCGCCACCACCACCACCATCTCCACCATCACCACCACCACCATCACCATCTCCACCATCCCCACCACCACCATCTCCACCATCACCATCACCGCCACCACCACCACCATCTCCACCATCACCACCACCACCATCACCACCACCACCATCATCTCCACCATCACCATCTCCACCACCACCATCTCCACCACCACCATCTCCACCATCACCATCTCCACCATCACCATCACCGCCACCACCACCACCATCCCCACCACCACCATCTCCACCATCACCATCACCGCCACCACCACCACCATCTCCACCATCACCACCACCACCATCACCACCACCACCATCATCTCCACCATCACCATCTCCACCACCACCATCTCCACCATCACCATCTCCACCATCACCATCACCACCATCACCATCTCCACCATCACCATCTCCACCACCACCATCACCATCTCCACCACCATCTCCACCACCATCACCATCTCCACCATCACCATCTCCACCATCACCATCACCATCTCCACCATCACCATCTCCACCATCACCATCATCACCATCATCACCATCTCTACCATCATCACCATAACTGCTGTCATGACTCACCATCATTACTGCAGCCATCTCCATCATCTCCACCACCATTACTATAACCATCACTACCACGGTCACCTTCACGACAGTTGTTATCACTACGGTCATCACGGCTGTTACCATCCTCATCAGCACGGCTGTAGACACCACCATTGTGCCTTTTGGCTTGCTCTTCCTTTGTCTTCGCCAGCTGAGGCTGTAACTGCAGGTCAGACCCGGCCTGGCTGTGGGGATCCTTGTTTGCCTTACCTCTGCAGCCTGTCAGAAGCCCGGCTCCTCAGAAGGCAGGGTCGGGACTCCTCACGTACTGGCTTCCACTTTGCTTTGTTTCCCATGGTGCCCTCGTGAAAATGCCTGACAGAAGGTCACAGGGACACTTTCCACAAATGTCATTATCTTCCTGGCCTCACTGGGCAGGAGGCACTGATGGGCCCTGGTAAGGGCAGACCAGGCCTTGGCTCTTCCCTTCTCTTCTTCCTCCTTGAGAGCATCACTTCAGAGATCCCCTGGAACACCAGGAGCCTACCTCAATACTTTCTTCAAATCTTCTCCAGCTCATGGCCAGCAGCAGTTTAGATATATCTTCTGTGTCACAAAACCTCATCTTTTCAAAACTCTCAGAATTCACATGTATGCTTTTTTTGGTTTTGGGGGTTTTTTTTTTTTTAGGAAAAATGGAAGAAGGAAGTTCCTTACTCAATACTCAATCCTTTTGCTTTTGGAGTGGGGAGAGGGATGGAAGCCTGGGCCTCATACACAGTGGGCAAGTGCTCTACCATGGAGTCATGCTCCAGTGTGGCTCTGTCCTTCCGTGTGTGTGTGTGTGTGTGTGTGTGTGTGTGTGTGTGTGTGTGTGTGTGTGTGTGCTTGCATGCATGTGCATATGCACAGAGGTCAGAGTGGGATGCTGAGTGTCTGAGTGTCTTGCTCCATCACTCTCCACCTTATTCCCTTGAGACAGAGTCTCTCTCTGAACCTGGAACCAGCCTGGCAGCCAGCAAGTCCCAGGGATGCTCCTGTCTCTGCCTCCCCAGTGCTAGGATCACATAGCATTTGCCATTTTCATAGCATACCTGGCATTTTCAATGTGTTCTGGGTGTGAAACTCAGGTCCCTGCCTCTGCAGCAAAATAAAAGGCAGGAACGTGTTTCAGAGCCCTGCTTTCTGCAGTCTCCACCCTGAGGTCTTTTCCTTTTATCTATGCTCATACAATGATAAGATAAAAGGTCAATTATTGAATCTACTTTTACAAAAGGAACTACTTGTTTAAATAGGATAAATAATGAATTTTTTTGTCTGAATTTGTCAAATGTTAATGGACTGGACATTGTTAATGTAATTCTTGACTGTATATATTGTACATACTTATTTGATGTAGTTTTTCTTATATTAGTTATTAGCTTTAAATTTTAGACAAAAAAGGGGAAATGTGGTGATATTGTGTTCTCCAAAATATATAATAATAAATAAAAACCCTAATAAACTTATCTGGGGTCAGAGAACAGAACAGCCACTAGATACAGAGACCAGAAAATGGTGGCACACATGCCTTTAATCCTAGCATTCCTAAAGCAGAGATCCATCTGAATCTCTGTGAGTTCAAACCCACTCTGGAAACAGCCAGGCATGGTAACACATGCCTTTAATCCCAGGAAGTGATGGCAGAAAGGTATATAAGGCATGAGGACCAGGAACTAGAGCTGGTTAAGCTTTCAGGCCTTGGAGAAGCAGTTTAGCTGAGATCCATTTGGATAAGGACTCAGGCTTCCAGTCTGAGGAAACAGGATCAGCTGAAGAATTGGCCAGGTGAGGTTAGCTGTGGCTTGTTCTGTTTCTCTGATCTTCCAGCGTTCACCCCAATACCTGGCCCTGGGTTTGTTTTTATTAATAAGACCTTTTAAGATTCGTGCTACAATACAAAGTGGAGCCAGTCAGCAGACAGTAGATATCAGGGGAGGCAAGGGGTGAGAGTATGGTCTTGGGCAGGGGGAGGTTGGCTTGCAGGGAGGTTGACCAACTCCCCATGGTGTCAGCTGTTCAGTTTGACAAGATATTGGATTCCTCTGAGCTTTGCTGTTCCAGGGGTCACTCACCATCATTACATATTAGCCTGGACAGGATCTGGCCCTGATCATGTAGGGTCAACACGAGGCTGAAGTCAACCAGCTGTCACACATCACAGAGGACAGGACAACCGGTTTTAGGTCAGGACCTTAGCCCAGCCCATGTCAGAGACTTGAATGTAATTTGTTATTCCCAAAGTGATCCAAGAGGCTCGGATAAGGGATTGGGGCCAGCAAAATCTGTAACACTAAGACCTGGGCTGTGATGTAAGTCAGTCAGCCAGGTGTGCTGAAGAAAAGCCAGCTGTGCTGGACAGTTTTATGCCAACTTGACACAAGCTAGAGTTAACTGAAAGCAGAGAACCTCAATTGAGAAAATGCCTCCATAAGATCCAGATGTAGGGCATTTTTTCAACTAGTGATTGATGGGGGAGAGCCCAGCCCACTGTGAGTGGTGCCATCCCTGGGCTGGTGGTCCTGGGTTCTATAAGAAAACAGGGGGTTGGGGATTTAGCTCAGTGGCAGAGCGCTTGCAAGGTAAGCGCAAGACCCTGGGTTCAGTCCTCAGCTCTGAAAAAAAAAAAAGAAAAGAAAAGAGACTAAGCAAGCCATAGGAAGCAAGCCAGTGAGCCGCACCCCTCCATGGCCTCTGCATCAGCTCCTGCCTCCAGGTTCCTGCCCTGTTTGAGTTCCTGTCTTGACTTCCTTCGATGACAAACTGTGGTGTGGAAGGGTAAGCCAAATATGCCCTTTCCTCCCCAACTTGCTTTTTGGTCATGGTGGTTCATTGCAGCCATAGAAACAGACATTTACCTAAACTGAGCCTTGACTATAATCTGCGAAGGACCAGCTGACCTTGTGATTGGGCGGTGGGAGAGCTGTTGCCCAATCTATTATGATCAGATGCTATGGTTCATCCATCTGTCAGAGCTCAAAGGGGCACACAGGACAAAGGGCACCTGGGACCATCCATCACAGGAGCCCTTGGACAGCTGTGTCCATCTGAAGGGATGAAGTTGTGGGTGGGGCTCTGGAAACTGACCATTAGAATTGTGGGCTCAGCTCATGCCCTCTCCTACCTTTTCCCACCCTGGCCCCCAAACCATTGGCAGCTTGTTTCTCAGCCCACTTCAGCATCAAGGATGGGACTGGCTGGATCCAAGGGGCTATATGATCTAGGTACAGACAGGCAAAAGGAAAGCAAGCCCTCCCTTGGGTAAACTGAGGCAGAGTGAATGTAAGAAAATCTTTCTCCATAACATGGTCATAACTTTTGTAACAAACCTGACAAAGACTGTCTAGAAGGCAGACCCAAATACCACCTCGGCCCTGGCTGAGACGGCAGGGACCTTGCACCTGAACCAGGGATGCAGGAGCAAACCCACTAGGAGATGGATATCAGGTCCCAGATGGAAGACCCGTTACATAAAAACCCACTAGCGCAGCTCAGCACACTCACAGGTACCTCTGTGTTGGGTAGCAAGTACCTCTGAGATAACGTCCATTTTGTTGAGAAATGCATTAAGTTCAGGAAGTATGCAATTCATAGGCTTCAGAAGTCCCTGAAACTGACCAGATTCACTAGGTCCCTCCTTTCCCTAGAGTGTATATACTGCTGAGAGACACTCAGAACAACCACACTACCTAGAAGAAATGAAGACCAAAGTACCTGGAAGACTCTCAGATGAGCTGAGCTGCCTGAATGAGGCACTCTCCAAACTCTGCTAAATTGTACAGGGAGATGCAGGTTCCCAGTTTTCATGAGTGTCACCTGTTGGGCAATATTAATTTGTGTTACATTCTTTTCCGCTGTGGAATATTTGTTCAATGATGCAAAGATGTGTTGCATTCTTTTATGTTGCGTTTGTTTAACTCTGTAAAGCTGTGTTACGTTGCCTGCCTAAAACACCTGATGGTCTAATAAAGAGCTGATTGGCCAATAGTGAGGCAGGAGAAAGGATAGGCGGGGCTGCCAGGCAGAGAGGATAAATAGGAGGAGAAATCTAGGGAAGAACAAGGAGCAAGAAAAGGAGAAGGAGAAGAGGACATCAGGGGCCAACCACCCAGCCAGCCATGGAGTAAGACAGAA